TTTCAAAATTTATACTTTTAAAATTATTTTTTGTGATTCCTATTGATGTGGATAAACAAAAGTAATTTCATTATAAAATATTTTTGTATAAAGTATTTTATAATATATTAAATAATTTTTTAGATATAATAAAATAAATAAAACCACTTTACTTAAAAAGGTTGTTTGTATTTCTTAAAATTATTTTTTCACAACTCGTATTTTTTAAATTTATTTATTTACGTAATCTATAAATTAATATTTTATTAAAATCAAAATTTGATATTATGCGAAGATCTCTTATTGTTAATAATATTAACATATTATTATAACTACGACTCATCTGTAATGGTATAAATATTTTGAAGCATCCTTTGATTAATCAATTAATAAAATTTTTCTGAAACATTTTAATTAATTACACCACACTTATGTCTTATACTTGTATATTTTTAATAATAATTTATATAACGTAATATATGTTAATATATCATAATATATGTGTGCGTAATGTACCTTTAATAATAACATAAAATATAAAATAATACGAAAAATAACATATTATTACATCTTTTATAATATATTTTAATTAATTGACTAGATGCTCAAAAGTAGACAGTTCTTTACATTCTCAAACCTGATATATTTTATCGTCGTTCTGGACGTATTCAGTCATATGTGCATGTACTGTGCTGTTGGTGAAATATTAACAACTCAGGTATAATTAAAAAAATATTCTTTACTTTCTACCAATTCTTTTTCCATGCACAATTGCATATTATAATAGACGTATTATAAAATAAGAAATAGTATAGTAGTATTATACACACAAAGCAAAATGTTAGTAGAATGACGACAAATGGACAGCAAATTTGCTCAAAATTGGAGATGAACAAATTGACGTTAACTGATATCGCATTCTGCTTCAGTTCTGTCAACCAGTATTTTTTGAAAATTCTATTTCAACGGGTTGCGACAGAAATCAAACAAAACGCATGTTAACATTCTATGCCAGCAGTTTCAACAGAAACCGAACAAGATTTACTAAGAGAATTTGATGATAACAGAAACTGGTAGCAAAAACTGAGTAGCAGTATCTGCATAATACTATCTGACGCAAACTAATGACAGAAATGGAGCAGATCCTGCTATTTTATAGATATTAAAATAGTACTGTTATTACATATATATATAGTAATGAAAAAATTCTAAAAAACTGATATTTCTATTACTTAAATTTTTTCTATTTTGAAGAAATAATTTGAATAACCTTATTAATAAATATACTTTACATTTTCAAAGCTTAAATATACAAATAAATACATGCTCTGTTAAGTCTATATAGCGGAAAATTTAATTTAATTTAAATCACTACTAATCCTACTAAGTACATTGTAATTTTATACTAAAATGATAGTTAAATTTGACACTATATTCTATTAATTTGATAATATATAGTATGTTCCTTCGATATACCTAAAATGTCTGTGTAAATAGTTATTTATTATAGGACGTTTAAATACCATTATAGGACGTATTTTAGATATCCATAATGTAGCGACAAAAACGAGATATTTCTAAACATATTTCGAACACCTATAAAGACTTCAAATTAGTTTGGTTAACAAGAATGTCAACTCACGTGCTATTGTCAGAACGAAATCAGAAAGCAAAATCAGTTGAGGTTAATAATAAAAGGTCTGCTAATAAAAAATTTGTCCGATCAAATCTATTGTCATTCTGCCGACATTCTCTTAACATTTTATTTAAAAAACAGTAAAATTTGCCTTTCTGGCATCAGAAATCATATAGTAGACTCTGCTCAAAATTTGTTTCTGTAAGTTTGGCAATCTACGATAATTTATTTTGAAACGTATAGGGTTGGCAATCTGAGATAATTTATCTTTAAACGTACATTTAATATATTTTAAATAAAACTTACATTGACAAATATATATTATGTGTATATGTGATAATAATACATATGTACATAAAAGTCTTAAGCTGCAATTACTCTCAATAGCCAATGTTTAATTAATTAATATACAAAAATTCACAAATGCATGTAAATTTATATATATATGTATATTATTATACAGCACGCCATTTTAATAATTCATATATGTATGTATTTTTTATAATTTTAAGTGTGACAAAATCTACTATGCTGTATATTTCAATGAATGGTATACTTTGAATGCAAGAAATACTCGAGACTTAGTTCTTTTAATGTTAAGAACCAGTAAACCTCTTTACCTTAACTTTGGTAAACTGTTTCCTTTAACAATGGCTACATTTTGCAATGTAAGTTATCTCGAATTTTAAATATAATTTTAGAGTAGAAGATATTCTCTTTATATGTGTACAAAGTAATGTTAACGTAAACACAATTATATTTTGGAAAATTTAAATAAAAATATTATAAAATGCATTAAAAAATAAAGAATTTCGTGCTATTCAATTGCTTAAAAAATTCTTTGTAAAATCTGATCATTGATTTTCCACTAACTCTGATGTTTTAAATTCACAAGAGATTATAGAGATATCTGGAGACACCGAGAGAGACACGGTATAGTGTCTCGGCGCTAAGATATGGCTCGAGATACTGCTGTGCTCCTTTACGGGAGCCGGCGAGTTGCGCCAGATTGAGATAATTTTATTTCCATTAATATATTACAGGTCATTTTTGTAATCATCGTAGTTTAATTTGTACGCGTATAACGTATTATACTTGAAGTTTCAGCTTGTATATTATATTTTTTATAAACTATTTATAATATATCTAATATTTAATATATTATTATGTACATATGCTTATTGTTTTTCCTTAAAAATGCCATTTATTTACTTATTATTGTATTTTTTTTTAGCTATTAAAAACGTCAGCCGGCTACATATCTGTATTACTTACAACAGGGAGTCAATCAAAGTTTTAAAATATAAATAGCGACCAAATTAATATTAAAAATACAAAATCAATAATAAATTAACCGGAAAGTATATTAACTAATTTAAAGTATGCCATGTAAGATACTTGAAAAGTTTACGTAGAATAATTATATGCATTGTGAATACTCAATGAACTAAATTTTATGCTACTAATATAATGTACTGACTTTTTTTGTTCTGCTTAATAAAAACTATCAAATAATAAAAAAAAAAACAAAAAATTAGCTTGAATAATAACGAAAAAAGAAAGGAAAATAAGATATCTCGAGAAAACTGTCGCAATATTAGATTGAAGATAATAAGTAATGTATTAAGTAAATTAAAAAATATAAAATCCAATGTTATTAAAGAGATTATATATTTTTATTCTATATATGGTTATATAATAACATACCTTATTTAATCTGATATCACTAAAATAAAAAGCGCCAGTATATTTTAAAATAAACATAAATCTCCAAAATCTAATGACAATTTTACCATTTAGTTCTTGTTAATTAAATCTTAATATTTTATATAGAATAAATTAATTAGAGAGATAAATTAATTAATGTAAAATGTATATTAAACAAAATATACGTAGTTGCATATTGCAAGTTGCACAATTTTCTTCTTAAAGTGATAATGTATTTCCTTTATGTCAATTGATAATTTATTTCACTGTTCTTTAAAGGATAAAAGCAATTACGAAGAATTACTAAAAAATAACCAATTCACGAAATATTTTATATTTCATACTAAATTGTGCTTAAATGAACTATTATATAATATCCCGCAAATTATTAATTTTTTTATAACTTTATCTTAATATCCTTATATCAGAATAATTAGAATAATTATATTATATTATGTAAAATAAGCTCTGCAGTTTCATTTTAAAAATAAATGTAGCTTCATATAATAGAATATTTCCAAATATTTATTTGGTTTATTTTCATTTAAATCATACAATTTTTATTTAAAACACACAATTTTGCTTACCAGGTTTAGAGATATTCCGGTGATTTATTATGTTTCTCCTATCCTATATATTTAAACATAACTTTGATAAAAGATTTTATAAAATGAGCATTTGCATAAAGTAAATTCAGATATTCTATATTTTAAAAAATTTCATGTTTTATTGACAAAGCGCAATTAATTACGAGTAAGTATTCTTTCACTATAGACACAATAATTGAGAAAAAAGTAATGAATTCTCATTATTTGTATTATATATTAAATAGATCACAAATATAAGAAAATTATAACTATCAATTAAATTCTCTACAATTTACGAAATATCACAATATCACATTAATTTCAGTACTGCAATTATAGATAGACCAAATAAATACTTAAATTGCAATAAGCAGGCAATATTATATATAAGTTATAAATACTGCTCACTGCACAACACAAAAACAAAAAGATACAATTCACACGCAATGCTCGAAATCGATTACAAGTGCGTGAGAACTTAACAGGAGGGTGAAAACCGATTGTTAACAACCCTTCGTTGTTACGCCAGTTTTTATCTGCTTCGAATGTTGCACACAGGAGACGCTGACAAAAAACCTTTTACAGGAAAAGTTTAAAATTTCTTGAGCTCATCCTCTTTATGCAATAATCATCTATCACTTTAAAAAACTTTTATTAGGCACACATGCATGGATTATCGGTTAAATGAAACTTTATGTCGTTCTAAAGAGAAAGTAGATGTTAGTGGATAATGAAGAAATTGCAAGAAACTATGAAATAATAGCTAAACTCTATAATGGTGTAATTCTATGATACGAGTATACAGGGACTCCGCTAAAATAGAAAATACCTACAATTGGAAAGTAAGTATATAAAAGAATAAAGTAAGCCTAATATCCTAAAATACAAAATAAAAATAATTATCTACTGTATCCAATTTCTAATAAAAATAATATTACTCAAAATTGGTCGTTATAAGTGACTATAGTTCAGACTATAGATACCTCAAAATCGATACAGCAACGTAAGAACACAACTGCTTCATCTACATAACCAGCCACATGACCAAGTACTTATCAACCAGTCATTACTTCAATTATTATTCATGAATACTTTGAACATTGTTGTACTAGTAATTCTTCGCCGTTGCAAAACAACAAGGGATCACAAGTAGAATTTTTTAAACCATCTCTGTCACTAAACGTCTCATATTTTTAACAATTTTTATTATGCACATAAAATATCATCTCTCGTTGTATAGACATCGCTGTAAGAAAAACAGAGTTATCAGTTCATCTTCTATGTTCAACATGGAAGCATCAAAACATCTTACGTATCAGAGTCATAATAGATATGATTATGGATCATTATCAAAGAAAGGTCAGATAAAATATATTATATTTCGTCCAAAGTGGGACACATAATGGCTACGTTTACACCATGCCCTTAGTCTGCGACCTTACAATAGGAGTCCTTGTTTATCCTGCAAATTAAACAAAGACATTTATCATATATGTGGACTAAGTACAGGGTGTTAACGTAGTCATTTTATCGAAATTTTTTGAGACAGATTTCGAATGGGCAGTGAAGTTAAATCGATTTGGGCTAGAAATAATCGGACTTTGGCCTAAGTCCGGACAAACTACATGGGAAAAGCGTGTGTGCAATTTACGTGTACTTCTCACTTTCTTATTAATAATATTTGTCCTTGTTATTCCTGCTATACATTCTCTGATAAGAATCCGTTTTGACATTTTACTTGTGGCAGATAATTTGATGTGTACTTTACCAGTCAGTGGTTGTCTCTTGAGACTTGTAATTTTTTGGTGGAAGAGAAAAGGTAGATGAAATAGCAATTTGATCGTCACGATTACATATATTTAAAATGTATTTACAATATATCTTTAACATATCAGTCTAATTAATCTTTATTTTTTTGTACAATTCTAATTATAATTAAAGATTTATTCAATTATATTAAATTTTAGAAAAATTAAAAACGAAATAAGTTAAATTCATATACCGTAGTTATTATTTATTTATGTACAATAGTAATTATTTATATTTTACATTTGTTGCATACATGTAGAGTTACTGTTACAATTGCGCACTGTATCACACATAATTAGACAAAAATTTTTTGAAAATTAACTATGACTCGAAATCTATAAAAAAACACCTATTCTGGTTTCAGTTAATTTTCAAAAAAATTTGTTGTAATCCTAAGTCATTCATGTTTTTCCGCAATTTTCTAATATTTGATTAAAACTAAATTGAATTAGGATCAAAAAATATTTTATAAATTACATATATTAAAATTTCATTTTATTTATTATAAATTTATAAATGTATACAGGGTGTCATTAAAATACGTCACTACCCGTCTTGAGTCAGGTAGAGCGGACACTAAACTGACAAATCAAAAAGTCCTCTACCATTTTGCGATTTTCACAATGGTTAACGAGATAGTAATTATTAAAAATTGCTAAATATTGGTTTTTAATAATTTTTTTACTCAAATACTATCAACTTTATCGTTAACAAAAATCGTAAAATGGTAAAGGACTTTTTGACTCAGTTTAGTCCACTCTACCTGCTCAGGATAGGTGGTGCTGTATTTTAATGACACCTTGTATAAGTAGTTAACATTTATTTTACTACAGTATTAATTTCTTTATTTTTATATCTTTAAAGCTGTCGCACAAATAATACATTTGATTGCGAACGATTGGACAAAAACAACGACATCTCAAGAAAAAGCAATAATGATAGCAAAAGCGCAAATTGCACGCATTATTATCACATTTGGATATGGCATGATGGGAGCGGCCATTATTGTTATGCTTATTTTGCCTATATTTGGTTACTCGGTAAGAAATCTGTCTAATATTACTGAAGATCTGGAGAAACCACTCTCATTGCAGACATATTACATCTACAATACGAGAAGAAGTCCACAATATGAATTGACATATGCTGCTCAATGTATTACCTTATTCTTCTGTACCATTTCTTATACGTGCATAGATAACTTTCTTAGTCTTTCGGTATTTCATATTTCTGGTCAACTGGACATTCTGAAAAATCGTTTCTTGCATTTACATATTGTCGCCGATCTTGACAACGCTTTAAAGAGTTG